AAAGAACACCCTGGATGACGAGACGGAATCCGACAATCATCCTGGTGATCGACCTGCACTTCCAAGGCGACCAATGATGCGGCCTGTTCTCACATCCAACGATCGGTGGTTTGTAACATATGGATCGAACATCAGCCTCCAGAAGGAATCCGTGCACCCAGGACCTTTCGGAAACTCAAAATTCCTGAGTTTTGTGCACGAGTACTACAAGGAATGCTCAACCATCCTCGATGTCAATCCGGACTTCCACTTCGTTCCTGAGCACGAGAGACCACATGGAGTTAAGGTATTCTGGTTGAAGGCAAGATTCAACGATTACTGGCATCCAACACTCCAAGGTGAAGGATCTCATGCAGAGAAGCAATACATGGACTTCATCAAGAAGGTCTACAGCATCTGCTGCTACACCAATGCTCAATCCGAAGTTTACGGAACCGACATCATCCCGATGGTATGCCACAACGGCAACATTGATCTCGAGAAGACCGTCCAGAATGTCGAACAGGTTTGCAAATACTTCCGCATGGATCCATCCAAGGCGAAACAGATCACAGATCTCATCCTCTGGCGAATTGAGAGAATGAGCAGATCGTTTTCCGGATGTCTTCGACATGATCCAAGACATGGAATCCATAAGGAATGCAAACGACAAGTGGAAATGGGTCCTGATGGATCCGTCGAGCTCTATGACGCATTGACCTGCATCACACATGCCAGGAACTTCATTGGAAATAAGCCAGGACTTCTCTTGATGGCTATGTTCCCGAGCTATGGAAAATCACGTTTCGAAATTGCGTTCGTATTTCCATCCGTGGACGGGACATATAAGGAGCGCAAGGCACGGGGAGAAATTGTTCCAAGGAATAGATGGATCGATAAGCTCAACACCAGATCCGCACAAAATGCACTCAGGCCCGATGGCAAGGAATTCTATGTTGATTCAGAGATGGAGTTCTATGTGAGATGCAACAGCGGACACACACGACAAGTCGATATCCAATCCTTTGGACGACCCCTGTACCCTGAGCAGAAAGAGCCTCATCACGACGAACCGGACTATGATCTCCCAACGGAATCCATTCCGCCAAGTCCGCATCCGTCAAGATCCGAGGCGCCTCATGGAGATGAAGGCACAGCTCAGCCCAAGTACAGAATGCGAAGGCCGGCACCACCATCCATGGAAGAAGAGAGAAAGATCAAGCCGTTCTCGAAGAAGCCCATCACATTCATGTTCCATGCAACCTATGGAAATCAGCTCTACAGCATCATGGAGCACGGGCTCAAATCTGGGAAGTCCCAGTCAAACCCTTCGGGGACAATGCACGTCCACATGGCATGCATCGATGACGTCATCCTCGAAGACGATGAGTCAGAAGCCGCATTGACCCATGTGCCAGCAGGAAGAGATGCACTGTTGATCCTTGCATTTCTCAAGGACCAAGACTATGGCATCCGCCTCTCCGAAGAGAGAACAGCGTTGACAGCAAAACCATCGAGGCAAGAAACATTGTTGCAGCATTTGAACCTGATGGCAGCCTCATGGCGAGCAACAAGTGGATCATGAAGAAACATCTCGATCATGAAGATTACGAGATGTACGACACCAAGATCCGCGAATTCGCCGATGCCTTCTTCAGTTATGTGAATTCCACCAAGCACAACAAGGAAAAAGATACTTCCTCAGAGACCAAGAAGAGACGGCATTCCACCGATCAGGACTCCACTGAAGGAGAAATGATGGAACCCTCCGGGGAAAGATCCGTCAAGCCGAAGGTCATCGTGGAATATCACAATTCAGAGAACATAGATGAGTTCATCCAAGAACTCAAGGAAATCTATCTCGAAACAGATATGAACAAAAAGGACGCAGAGGAAGAGCTCGCGGGGACCAGGGAGAACCCGCTTCATGAACCAGTTCAACAAAGATCCAAGAAGAGCTCATCCCAACTTGACAGAGTGCGAGAGAGCCTCATTGGCACATGTCGATCCTGATGTCAATCTCGGTGAAGAAGAATTCTACTTCCCTCATCGAGGAGAATGTCCCACCGTTGACGACTACAAGCAAGCTCAACCAGGATCCGGATATCCGATCAAGCTTCCGCTTGGATTGAAAAAGCTCAGGTCACATGATGACCCGAAAATCATCCGAGCCTATGCCGATATCCTGGGGTCGCTGATGCAGCCGACTGACCGTCCTCCCGTGGACTATCTCAACATGCATGAGTTCACCTCATCCATAGCGATCAACATGCTTACCCTGAACCATGGAAACCTCACAAGAAATCCAAAGCTGGACAACAGGGAGGTGTACAACATGCCGATGAAGGATCGACCGATCGTCAAGATGATGATGCAGAACAGTGCACACATCTTATGCCTGAATGAAGCAGACGCATTCTTCAGTCCGAATGATGAGAAATCCAGGGAGCTCATCAAGACGTTCATCCGATACGGTTACAAGGGCATCGTGATCAAGCAATGGTCATCCAGACCGATCGCATGCTTTGTCCGCGGCGGACCGTCTGCACGAGTGGAACTTCTGGCAAGACACATTTCCACCAGGAGCCAGAATTGGGGAACCACATTCGGAATGTTCAGATGTTTCTTCGGAACTAAAGGAGATTGCACTGACCCCAAATAAATTCCGACCTCGGATTGCTTGGCAACCACAGGAACATCCATGTTTACTGAACCCAAGAAGTACATTGGATCGAGATTGCCAGCACGCACCATTGTCCAAGGACATGGCCGAGACAAGGAGATCGTCGTTCTCCATATCGAGCAGAGTGATGAGTTTCGTGGCATGATCCCGAAATCATCCGACAAGTCATTCCACGAGTATGACGACCGCCACATAACGAGGGCAGATCTACCATTCGCAACCATTGGAGTCTTCCACATCCATCCTTCACTTAGCCATGGAGCAGCAAAGGAAGATCTTCAGAATGAAATCATGCCGCTCGTGACCTTGTACCGATGCGACGCGATCACCGGAGACGCCAACAAATCAGCGAACACCTACAGCAAACTCCAGCACGTCTACAATCCGACCAACGGTCTCGTGAACATCCTCATGAGGACATATCAGAGACTGTGGAATGCAACGAAGAATTTGCCACTCGTGGACAGAATGGAGTATGCAATGGAGACTTCGTGCACCCTGAAATCCATTGTCCGTCATCACCTGTACATGAAATGCGGATCAGGATTTGATCGAACATTCCCAGATGTGATGATGACTATCGTATTTGGATGGGGCAAAACGAACATCCAGCAGGATTTCCGGAAGGACGAGATGAACGGTATGGATGATGAACAACTGGAATTCATGCGAAACCATCCAACCAAGGCCATATTCGATTACCAGGTCTCATCCGCAGAGCGCTACAAGCACGTGAGCAATGACATGTTCATGAATGGCTCGCAGGATTCCGACTCCCACAGTTCTCTCATGGTTTACATCCGCAGCAAATCTGCAGCCAGTAAACGCAGCTCTGAGAGATACCAGGATTACATCAAGAAGAAGCAATCATCCTGGACCACGCAGGAGTACAAGGACTACAACAAGCAGTGGAGACATCAGAAACAGTGGAAGGACTGTAGCACTTCGACCTGGAATGATTATGGGGACCATGGCAGTCAATCCGACAGCAGCCGCCGATGGTATCGTCGATCCGACTGACCATGAAGATACGTTCAGCGCCACGAACAATCCAGATGATTGATCCTCGTCGTCTACAAGACTATACCATGAGTGAGAGATCAATAGTTTCACAATCGTCCCGCGTGTACATAGCGTTGTACATCACCCTTTGATACATTTAGGTATCCAAAAGAAGCAGTACATGGTGTTTCCCATTTCGAAGGCCAAGACATTTCATCCAAGCAGAAAAAGGATGAATCCGGCACTTTAATCACATGGCTACGGCACACATCAAGGCTACGGTCAAAGGCCATGAAGCCAATAGTATTTCATACTTTGTGCTGGAGATCAAAAGAAATTTGTGTCTGTTTTGTGTTCTGTTTTTCAGACCATTGATCTCCCGCAACATTTGGCTCAAGGCCGCTTTTGCAGAATCACGACCATCCGAGCGTGAAGACAAAAGAGCCATTGCAGGCCGCTTACAGGATTATCCACAAGACAATCCACCAGAAACAATCCATCATCCAATCATCCATTACTGGCATATTGGACTCTCTCCGGAATAGATCCAGGGACCAACAACGACCTCAACTACCACAGGGTTCCAGTTCCCTCCGGGGATAGGCACCTGGGGCAGTGGGCCTCACCCCCCCCCTGCAGCTCGTTTCGAGAAAAAAACAGATGCGGTAGGGGGCATGCGGCTTTTCATCATTGCCTGCCTCCACTTGCTGCATGGAGTTTGGCCGTTGCCCCGGCCATACGTGTATGTTCAAGGTTTGTAATTGGCACGACTCGTTCTCAAAGGCGCCGCAAACTGTGCGCTCTGCTGGATGGCTCTCGAAATTATGCCTTCTAGGACCCTTGTCGATACACTTACATACAACCCAGAAATGCCAAGTTTTGCGCACCAACCAGCCCATTTCGCAAATGACTTTGGACCAAGCGGGTGGATATGCCGAAACGCGCAGTTGCAAGCTAAGTTGAGCACTTAGCATCGCTTCACACATCTTGATATCATGGTGATAAACCCCAAGCCAAGTCGTGGGTGAGCACTTTGCCTCGCTCTGGCTCTCTGCGGCAACAAGTCTTCTTGGCTGCTATCTTCCGGCTAAGGTAAGCCACTGACGCCCTTGACATCCTAACAGCCGGCTGTTGTCATGAAACAGCTGTGAGGTGAAAACCCCGCAGAAAAGTGCTGAATACCCCCAATCAATCAGAAATGAAAGGAGGCCCAGCGAAGGAAGAAGTCCACACTAAATAGGCTTCAAATATGGCATCGCATCATAACCAGTTTGCCAGCAGGGGTCAGAGTGCTCTGACTGTTCGCAGGCTGCAGCTCAATCAGACGCTCAGCCACTCAAGCCGAGGTCCCGCCATCCAGGTACGCCACACCCTGGGCGCCCCGACCATCCAAGGGGCTCGGCACGACCGGCACTCGGTACATGGCACCAGAGCACCAGAGCCTTTCCCGAAAAAGCACTCGACCTGCACGGCGCTTCAGCCGACTGGGACCTCAGATTTCGGTGGACCAGATTTTGAGCCGCCATTGGGCATGCGATGTCTTGAATGTCCTTCATATTGTATCGAGGGCCTGAGCCGAACAATTGGCGAAGCGGCAAGCGCGTAGTTCAGCAACCGCAAGAACATGCAAGCCAATGGGATGATATCACCCGACCAGGTACTAGCACCACGTGTTGAGGCCATTTCACGGTTCAGGGTCCATACATGCACGAAGCTAACTGGGAGACGAAGCTTGAAACGTTCGACAGCTTGCTTCAGCGAAACCAAGTGCCATTGGGCTAAACCAAGGAAACAACACCACCTAAAATCACAAATTGGACATCAAGGGCTCCCCTGAAATAAAGAACTTTCCCATCTGTGGCGGTTTCACCATTCCTTGGCCCTGTTCCCGGAAGCCTTGGCTTCCGGACACCCAAGGCGCAAAGCCAGGCACGCAAAGGGGGCTGCAGGTCTTGCCTCAGCTGGCACCCCTGGTCAATACTCACAATTCCATATCTCCATGATAGATTCCCTTGAAATCCAACAGGGAAAAAATAACACATGTTCATCATAAACACGGGAAAATAAACAATATTCATAATAAAGCTGGCATGACAAGCATAGTGGAACTTTCCGCGTGTGGAGAGTGGCAGCATGCGAGCCCCTCAGCCTCATGGTTGTGAAGCACGGCGCTTTGGTATCTACGCATTTCCCCCGCTTTTGGAAGCGGCGCTTGAAGATATTGGTAGAGAGTTCGCAGCTCCTGTGCGTGATGTGGGCTTGTGCTGCAGGCAATCGGTGAACATAATGACACATCCTGAGCTTTGGATGGCGCCAATGGTGGCCTGTGGCATGAAATCAGAGTGAGAAGACGCCTCTCACAAGAGGGCGCAATGCTTAGCACAAAGAGTGCAGCCAGCCGACCGCTGCATCATGCAGCTTTGCTTGCAGCAACTTGGCAACCTGAGTGCCACTGCCATATTGCCTAAATTGCCTCACAAAATCTGTCCGTTGTAAAATTGTCTGCGGACACCCCTGTCAGCCGCCATTTGAAGTGTAGACCTCACAGCGGCGGACCAATGGTTCGGATGTTGCGGAGACCGCCTTTCAAACATGTCAATCCTTTGAGACCGTGGCCGGGACGAAGCCAACAAGGCAAAACATGTGAATAAAAGACACCAGCTACAGGAACATAGGGGAAGCTGCGCCTAGCTGCTTTCTTTGGATGTGCTCCCGGCCTGTAATTAGAAGAAAGGCAACCACGGCACAAATTAGCAACCAACCCGCGCACTGCCAACGTTTACGGTAGACCAGGACAAGCAAACAAGCATGCAAGCAAGCGAGCAAAAGGTACAACAAAGGAAGGCAGAAAGAGAGAAACAAAGCATAGGAAACAAACACAACACAAAAAACAAACAACAACCAAACTGACCAACCCACCGCCCGACCAACCAAGCGAACTAGCCAGGCAGCCAGCAAACAAAGACACAAACACACACGCACTCAGACACATGCACAACACACACACAGAGAACCATCCATAACATGTTCAGCACAAGCTGAGTATTCCCAAACTGCAGAGAGAATAGAGGGACCACTTAAAATCCTTATGCCTTGTATCAAAAGCGAAGGTGAAGCTCACTCCTGGGCTTGGGTTCCCTGGCCATGTGGGACCTGCATGCCTTCCTCACACCCAGGGCTGGCAACGTGCGCCACCTGCAAAGCCAAGCCCCCAGTGGCCCCAGAAAAGCCAAGGCTAAAACATAAGCTATAGCTTTAAAGTCTGCATAGCCAAAAGCCCCTTTAAAATGTCGCGGCGGCAATACCGGTGGGCAGGAATGCAGAACAGTGGGCGAAGTCACAAAATGTGAGGTCTGTCAGGCCCTGGAAGCCAGCACAAGCAAAGCGGGTGCGTATGTGGCCATGTGGCGAAGAAATGCGGAGAAACACAAATTCCAACAAGCGCAACCCTCTGCGGTTTTCAGCCCGGTCGGAGCGGAGCCAGGCCCGTTGGCACGGACGCCCACACCTTTCGCGACATTTAATTTGTTTGGGTGGCAGGCGCAGCAGTTTCGCAAGGTGAGGTGCAGATTTCGTGGCAGGCGCACCAGTTTCGCAAGCCCCGGCTTCGCCAGCCCTACTGGTATGATACACATGTCAAAAGACTTGCTTCACCTCTCAGTTGTCAGGACAAAATCCTGGCTCCATCCCACAAAAAACACTCCACATTACATCATGTGCTGGCAGGAGTAGCCTTTTCCGAGACTGGGCTTAGCAAGCTAATGTGTAGCCCTTGGTTCATTCAACAGAATATAGAGGGTTGTTAGTTTGGGTTCAATGGTCCCGCATGATGTAGCACAACAGTATAGATCCTTGATGGCCTGCCTGTTGAAACTTCCCTGCGGACTGATGAGGCGGCCGTAAAAAAATGTCCATCAGCTACCTGCTAAGCGCAGCAACAGGCGGTCCTACCTACAGCTACTATTAGCATCTATACACAGCTCCTAATGTCTAAGTGCTTGCTGAGCCGTTCCACGTTTCACTTACTCACCTCACAAGGGCAGAAGCATCATGAGCTACAACCATATAAAAGGCGGACACCCTCTGGCTAGGCACATGGCTCATGCATCTGACTCAAGGCCACGTTCGTTTGCTGCTCCAATAGAAAGACTCCGTTGAGTGCCTTTGTTGTTGTTTCTTGGCAGCCCTTGTGAAGCCAACCTTGCAAGCGATGTGAGCCTTGCTTGGGAAGCCCGTGCAATGCCAGGAGCTGACATCAACTAATCTCAAAATTAGGCGTAGCTGAAGCAGACCAAAAGGCTGCCCATAAAATGAAACCCTGGAACGCAAGCTGCCACTGTATGCGTCTTGTTGCTCCCTTTCTGAGTCCTGCCAGTGAGGAAACGTCACACACACAACACGGACGTGTCAACCACACCTCAACCACAAGCCAAAGCCAGCGATCCATGCCTTTGACCAACCTTTCCGCAAACATGCGCAATGTGCACTTGTCAAAGAATTAAAGTGTAAATAAAGTATGTTGTAAACATCTGCATCTTCGACAGACACCCAGACGTGCCCCCATGCCCCAGCAGCACCTGCGGAGCGCTGCAGGCCATCGGGGCACAGGAGAAGTCAGGCCTAGCAGCCCAAGCACTGCTAATGTTACGGTGACCATTGAGATTCCCAAAATGTGAGTCTCTCTGGTCCAAAAGTTGTTCTAAACCCCTAGCGAAAGCATCGTAATGCATGTATCCACGATTATCCAACGGCCATGTGTGCAATGTGTTGACATTTTGGCCGTGTTTGATATTTTTCGCTGTTGACGATAGTTGCATTTGCGGTATGCACGTGACGTTCGGGAGGGGGAGCCAGAGGCCAAGGCACTAAGTTTCGAAAGTTTGCCGCATGGCGTGTGTCCCTATTGTTTCCCCTTGTATTTGCCTGCCTTCTTCATTTTGTTGTTTTTTTGTGGGGCGATCACGTCGACTGCCGCAGGTGCAAGGTCGCTTGGGGACAAGCTGCGCTGATGAGGACGCAACAAATCGCTGCCAGTGCGATGGTTCATGTGCGATTTGAATTGGATCTGAACCCTGTGGTATGTCATCAGCTGGGAACAACGTTGAACACTCTTACAATGATCCAGCATGATCCACCGAAACAGAAACTCTGCTGTCCTCAGCCATTCCACCGGGCTCTTCAAAACTGAGCGACTCGCCAAGGTTTCCCCCATGGCCGCTTGGCAACGCTGGTAGTGTTGCCTTTTCCCTTTTTCGGACAGTGCTGCCCCAGTGACTTGCGAACGTCCTCCTACATTCTGTAAGTGCCCCTTGGCAGTCTCCCAAGTTCTTTTATGTAGTCGCCTCATGTCTTCCCAACAGACGAAAGACTTTGATCAGAAAATGCGCTTCCAAGGGGCCACCCTTGTCCGATTCCATTTTGAAGGTGGGCATGGCGCAGAAACCAGAAGCCACGGCCCGGGTCCCAAGGCTCCCTGAGCTGCGAGCTGCGACAGCTGCCCGTAGTTGCAGGTCACGAGGCTGGCGGTGCTCGCGATGCACTCAGTTGCCCGAAGTGGAAGGCTGACAGTTTCTGCCTTTAGCTGGTGATTTGTGTCTATTCGGCGTTGAGAAGCAGCGAAAAGAAAAGTGAAGGCATTGCGATCCAACCTGCTTGCAGTCTTGCTTGTGCCCGTTCCTGCTCCTGATCCGCATTGTGAATTCCGCAATTTCAACCACCCCATGTGGCATGGGAAAGCGTATTCTCACCGTATGTCCACAAATGCATAGCACAACCTGCGCTGCAATATTGTAAAGTTATTTGTGTATAGCAACCCCCCTGCGTTATCCTTGTTGCAAGCAACAATCCTCCCACAACAGCTGGGAGGCAGTGTGTGCTCAACAAGTGTGCGCTGCGTCTTCCAAGCGTTTCACAGAAGCTTCGCCTTGCAAGTCTTGCATTTGTTCTTCTGTCTTCTTTCTCGGAAATATTCCTCTTACTCTTTCTCGCCTGGCCGTCCGAAAGCGTTGCGCCTGCCACCAGTTCTGCGCCTGGCCTTCTGAAGTGCGTGGGTACTGGGGCTGCGTGTGCGACTGTGTACGTGTGCTTGCAGGCGTGGGTGGTGCGCGTGCGCGTGTGCCTGCACGGGCTGGCCTGACCTTGCAGCTGCCCTAACTATCAAGTCACACTCGTGTCCAGCTCACTTGACGCTTTCAATCTCTTTTCCAGAGCCAGCGTGCCGTTGCGTTTTGTGACTGGAACTGCCCTTCACAATCTTAATATCCAACAGTGCCCCCTCACCTCAAAGTATCCAGTCCTCCACGCACACCGCAAATGGCACAAGTTCGTGCCTCGCGGCACAAGCTTCCCTAGGACCTAGTAGGTTGTTAGTTAAACGGAATTTATGGTTGGAAGGGGCAGGCAGGTTTTGAGGGGTGTGGTAGTTCTTCTCCATTCGTTCCAGGTTGGCACCGGGAAACACTAGGCTGGCACTAGGACACCAATCACCTCTGCATCCACACCCCCACCTGGAACTTCTCGGCATGCCCTGGGGGTACTGGCCCCAGCTGCACCGCACCTGGTCCAGTCTGGAACTTAAATGAGCGCAGGATTTCCATGAAGAATGCTTAGCCTTGGCGGCTGGGAGCCACCGCCAGCTGTAACACGAGATGCCTTGCTTGAAGTCGAGCCTATTGTAAGCTTGATCTTGAAAGGAGCCTGGGCCAGCGGGTTCATTCAAGCTGTCGTTGCCCCTCCTTGAGGGGGGCTACACAAGCTCAACATCATAGCAAAGAGATGCGAGCATTCCCGTCACCCCACGATCCCATGACTCAGTCCTTTCCCTCCCGCTCGCATGCTCGCCGAGTCCGAGCTAGCGCTGGCAATGCAGAGCATTCAAGCCGGCTGACACGAAGTTGGGCCTAGAAAAATATGCCCAAAAGATGGGCCCAACATCAAGACTGGCCTTTTGTCGACCTTGCGCCCATGGGGAAGACGCACAAACCAACTATGCGGGCTTGTATTGAAAGGCTGCATGCTGAGGGGGGAATTGGGGCCCACCCCCACGGCCCATACCCTGGCAAATGGACGTCCTACAGAATGCAAGTGCATTCACAAGTCTAGGTATCATCTCATTTGGATCCCGATCCAAAGGACCTCTTTGGCCTCCTGCAAGTAAAGGCACGCTACTGGGCAGGCTTCCCAGGCAATCAAATCGAAATCGAGGTCAGGCCTTGCTAGAATATAGGACCAACGTCTGATGGCTTTGTGGCTTGACAGTTCAGCGGGCATCTGAATGCTCTGCACTTCCCAGCGGCGCGCGGATAGGGGTTCACAGCTTCCCTGGAGCCCCAAAGGTGCATGTGCCACCAAACCCCTTCCCAATTACAAGAAGACATGCATTCTCCATCAGGAGCACATTGAGAACCAACTGAATCACCCACCTTCAGCAACTTCCATTCAAAGCATCGGCGGGCTGAAAACCGCTTCATCCGCAAGGTCTGCCAGTTAAGCCTCCGTTGATTTAGCGGAGAGGGCCCCAAACAGAACCTTCTTGCACAGAAATGTGGCATCGCCATCTGGCTGCCAACAAACGGAAACTTCCCCAGGCCACCTTGAAGGGAGCTGCCATGGTTTCCTCATTCGCAAAGTAGCAAAAAAGAAAAGACACGTCACCTCACCATCCCTCAAGGCGTAGCTTAGTTGCCCAGTAGCCATGGTGGACGAAGGGGCCTATTTCGCTTGGTCCTTGTCAGCGGACGGTAGAAGAAAGAAAGGGAGAACCGTGCCACTGGCGTAGGCTCGGCGGTTCAAGCTGAGAGACTGTGTGTGCAGCCGCGGCTGGTTCTTGGATGACCTCTTGGCATGGGCACGCATGGGATGCCTAAAGTGCAGCGCGGCGGTCCTAAACAACCAGAACCACTCCCTGTGTAGGCGAATGGACTACACGGCTGGCAGGGGGGTCCTCAACCATATTGCCCAGCAAAGCAAGGCGCTCATGCTAAAGATTGCCTGTTGGCCTGCAAGCTTGTTTGCTGTCAAGGCCAAACGTCTCACAGCATGTTTCACCTCTCCCCTACAGGCGGAATTACGGATGCAGTTAGATGAATCGGGCCAACCCACTTTCACAAAGACCAAGCAAGAACATGTCCAAACGCAACTTTGAATGGCCACTGGTCAACCGAACCGAATCCAGCCGCCAGGCATCCCCAGTTGTGACTTCAGAACACTACCCTTGGCCTGAAACTATCGCAAAACCGCTTCATAACTCGCCATGGACACTGCCAACTGACTGAAGGGGTGGCCAGCCCTGTGGCGCCTGGCCAAACCAAAAGCCCGAAGCAGCCCGCAGTTTCTACGTGGAACCCTTGCGACCGAACCTGTTTTAGCCCCCGAGTAAGGGCGCTATGCTAATTCGCACAAAGCCCTGGTTTCTTGGGACCGCCGCGTGGACGTCGATCGCAATCCGGTTGCGGGGACTGGTTTGGCCACCCCCGGGCTTGTGGGCTTGATGATTCGCCCTCCTCCACGGCTTTTCAGCTTGCGGCAAGACTATGTATCTGTATGCGCTCGCACTTCCACGTGAACTTGATACTCGCCGCTGGCTTGTCAGGCGAAAAAGAAAAACCGCCGCGTGTCATTGCCAGCTCGCCTATTTGACGAATTCTGGAAACAGGCAAGAATTGAGCTACGCAACATGCCCGTCTGCAGCCCCATGGCCCGAAAACAACAGCTGGGTGGTTGCTGGGAGTGGCCGGCTGTTCGTCACATGCCAGCGAAGAGGCCGCGCGGACCATTGAACTGGGAGTACACCGATGTGGGCTCCTCGTTTGCTGAAGTGATCACTGATGTGCTGTGTCAAAAGTAGCACCCCCCCCAAACAGTATCAATGTCTGTCTCTAAGCAAAACGTTGGATCTTCTGTGAATTTCTCTATTCTCACCGATTCTCGAAGCCCCAGCGAGTCATCCAAGCACTGAACGCTCAAGAACCAGTGGCAGTGGACAATGAGTGGGCAAAGCACGCGTGTGACCCGCCAACCCCACCCTTCAGAACGTAGAGCCTGGGTAGCTACCAAGCAACAGGTTGGTCTTACGTGGCCGTTGAGGCTTGTCGCTTACGCAGAGGAAAAAACGCTCGAACCGGGACGGCTCTCACATGTTGTATCGGCTGGACTGTTGCGACTGTTCAGGGGTTCTCCCGAAGGAAGCGCTTAGGAAAACAAATGCCCACCCTTTCAGCTGTACTGCGCCAGTCCTTCGGCACATCCTTCCTGCGCTGCCAGTAGGCGCAAAGACCAAAACTGGGGATCGTGCTTTCCCAACTTTTGATATCACTCCACCAAAAGGCGTTTCTACAAGGAACTGATAAACACATTTGGTGCAACAAGGATTGAACATATGGCTTCAGAGGTAGGTACAAAGGGAACCCTGTGCGTCGTCCTCTAACAAGTCGTCGGGACAAACTGAAACTGCCCTGAGATCAGTGCTGGCTATTTGGGGAAGTCCTCAGCTGCTTTGAACACGCTATGCTCTGCAGTTAGTTCCTCGTGCCAAGGAACAGTTGAATACTGCGGTTAGTACGGCATGGTCGCCTGATTGTCTGCTCTGGACAATGGAGCACATGATGCCGAAGAGGGCCATCCATGTGTAAGCAGCAGGACGCCAATTCAAACACATGCCTTTGTGCCTGTCGCCTGGCTGGATCTTTGAGGCAATGCACAGCAATCAGTTTCAAACCAAAGCTTTTTCGACCTGCACACCTCCTTGAGCCTGAGTGAACATCAAACAGTGGAAAATGATAGGACAGCGCGTGCGAAATTTTGACACAAACCGGGAGCAGGGTCAACAAGTAACAGCAACATGATAATCCCCCCTTGCAAGCCTGCAAGCAAAAAAAGGCAGGAGGGAAACGGAGGCTCCACCTTTGTGAGCCACCCCTGTGTGGAGCAAACCCACACCGCGCAAAAAAGCAGCAAGCACATCCCGCGCTCGACATTTTTTATGGGTGTTGGACCCCGGAAATCTCGGAGCCACACCCGCCTGGCGTAGTAGCTCTTGGGAGGCTCGGCCTGCGCGCCTGGAGAAGCCGACCGCTGATAAATGCGGGGGGGGGGGGGGGGGAGCAGGGCGCCGCACACTTTGTCTTCAAGTCTGCTCACTTACTGGTCATTTGGCGAGGCTGAACAAATCCGAGAGCAGGAACATCGCCATTGAGGGTTGCACTGGCTGTTCAACCAAGGTCAAGTCGATATGATTATTGATGAACAACAAGCAGCCACTCGTCTCTTCTAAAAGACGACTTATCGCTTTCACAATAGGGGTGCCGATGGTGACACTGGGACTGCCTTCACAGTTGCGGGTGCTGTATATAGTACGGAATTGTAGATAGCCTGCACCATGCGAGGGAGTACAGCGGCCAGGAGCAAATCTCTACAGAAAGGGGTTCGTCAAAATGCAAGCTCATTTCTAATTAACCTTGAAAAACATTGTGCTGACAGAATGACGCAACTTGAAACTCCAGTGCCTGGAAAACCAGGGAGTACTCCTGTTTAAGAAGGTGTGAATTCCAATTCTACACTTGCAGCGAAATCACCGGTGCAAATGCCGATGCCGCAAGTGGAAGGAATGGCTCCACCCAAATGAACTCCGCCCATCTGTTTCAAAGCAAAAATCCCCTAGCCCAACCCTGTCAAAACATCCAATGACACTCAAACAAAACGTTTGCCTACAAAGTCACAGTTTAGACTCGACTGCCTGCCAAAGCCGCCCAATGCCAAAAACAAGCAACGTGATCTTGAGATTCCCTTTTCTACCGACGCCTATAAGAGACCCATAATCAATCATTTCATAATGACATGAGAAAATATGTGTTTCATCCTGGTTGGGATGTGCAACTTGCCATATTCCTCACAGGCGGCACCCTCTTTCCGACAAACGTGATCTTGAACCCGGCGCCATCCCCAAAGTTGCGCAAAGCTTCAAAGGTCTTTCAGGTTGCGGTTGCATGTGTTCGCCAAAGAGAGGGGCGTTGAATATTATTGGAGCCAATTACAAAGTAGGTAAACAACAAACATGCCGTCCCTTCATAGATCGTATGTACCACCCCCTCAATACCAAAAGGATGAACTTCCAAACCAAGCCTTCACAAATCCTCGTCGCTTTGGAGGTGGTTCGGAGGTGGTGTCCGTCAACATTCCCGCACTGGCCAGGTTTCCCGCTTGCTCCTGCCTCTCTCCTCGCCAAGGTGTTGGCCAGCCTTGGGCACATACCATGCAAATAAGCAGCCCTCAAGCCAGTCGATGTTTGCTTCATGCACGTTACCAAATCCAAACAGCTCTAAAGAAGCACCGAATAATGTCAGATCTTCGCACGGATTCAGGAGGGATGCAGCGTCTTTTCAAAACCGGCCACTGAAGAACCGGAGCGCTGCTCCATCCGCTGGACCCTGAACCACAGCAAGCAGCTCCACCCGTGCAAATCCTGCAGATTGTTAGTGAGAAAGGAGAATCCTGTTTTGGGTTGACCATGTCGTGGCAAACCGCCAAAGACAAAGGATCTGCTTGCCTCCGAGCCTCGGC